GAGACGTTCAACAAATGCACCCTAAAACTCACTTTTATCTAGTAAATGTTTCAAGCAAAGTGCTATTCAAGTATCATTCTGTATGTCAACAAAACATTTAGCACATGTGATTTGCATCAGGTGGTCACCTTAACCTCCAGATCAAAGTCTGTCAAACTAAATTTGTGCCCTTTAATAGCTAGTAGGGGTATTTTTTTCTGGGAGAGGAACAAGCTTCAACAGAATATTACCCCATGGTATATTAAGGTCTTTTTTTTGACTGAATTGCCCTATTTCATAATGACATCACGGCATGTTTACATCAGTGGTTTTTTTAAGTACTTCAATTTATCTACATGTATGTAGTTTTGATAAAATTAAAATATCATTTTTTTTAATTGTGCAATTTCTTTGATGTGTGTCAATGAAATAGGGCAATTAGGATACTTTTTTTGGTCTAATAGCTCACAAATTAGTAATCCATTTTTTATTAGTAAGAGTGGTTTTCCGTCAACCATGAAAAGAAATAGACCAACTAGTTAGTAGCAATTAGTAATAGTCAATTTTTTTTTTAGACATATAGCTATAGACAAATAGCTAACCACTAAAATTAACATAAAAAAATTTTTTTTATGATGAATATGTTTATACCTATCAATCGGATACAACCTAGACTATTAGTATTGGTCTATTACAAACTACTACTAACTAGTATTAGACTTACTGTGCTTTCATGGTTGATGGAAAACCACTCTAATAAAACCCCTCACTTAAAACATTGACTCTAGTTATATAACAAAAGACAAATGCCTAAAATGTATTTTACTCAACTTGCATTTGGTGTGAATAAAAAATGTTAATTTTTTTTGTGTTGTTGAATATATAGAATATATAATTTTATAATTTTTATTTGTGCACACTGTAAATTGAAATATAAAAACCTATATACTTACTATATAGTCTTAATAATAGCTTCTTTTTTTTTTTGATTCATAAATTCACACATAAATTATCTTATATAATACTTCAACTATGTATACTAATTTCAGTCTCATAACATGAGACCTAGAATCGTTTACAAAATTGTGTGAAACACTGTCTGTGATTGTGTTACTACAATCTCCCCTCCCCTTTTACAATGTTGTTCGTCAATAAAATGCTACAAAATCGACAAGTAGGCGAAAGGAACGAGTGAACAACCTTGCAGTGGGGAAAGGGGGCATGGTGTTCTGTTTATTTAGCATATGATTGTAGCAGTTTGAGTACTTTAATATTTTTTTGTTTTAATCGATAATTTACTACTGATTGGTAGTATGGTTAGGTGCTACTTATCTCTAAATTTAGTGGCTGACTCTCTTCTGGTGTCATACTATCATCAACATATTGATATTTTTTTTTAACAATAAGAAATAGAAAGAAATTCAACACCATTAATCCAGCCATTAGGAAGAAAAAGTTTTCTAAGTAGCCATTGTTAGGATTGTCAGCTGGAAACCACTTTGGATTGGCTTTTTTTACGATATTTGCCAAAGCACCAGATAAATAGTTGCCAAGACCACCAGTGATCAAATTAAGACCCATTACAAGTCCTTTAAGATGTCTAGGGGCTTGCGAATATGCAAACTCATTTTTTTCAAATGACATTTAATGCAAAATTTTGATGATATAGTCGTCGGTAACAGCTCTATGAATGGGTTTTTCTTATGCTATTTGTGAACTTCCCTCTGCATTATTCTTCTATTTTATAGTTGTAGTTATATTCATAAAATGACCAAGATACCAACCTGTGGTTGAAGTAAACACCTTTTTTTTTCCAATAAGCAGAAACTGTGGGGCTTGGTAGAAAACTGACATATCAGATGCAGTTACATTCTTATGAAACAGTGTCTGCACAACAGTATGTCCACTTTGAAATCTCTCTCGTCGTTTTATCTCCACCCATCCTGCCACTGCGAGAGATGAGGCAGCAACGAGCATGCCCAGGCCAATACGGCGCAACAGGGTGAAGTTAAAACCACTGTACCGGAGAAGAGGATAAACAACTTTGTCCATGATAGGAATGACAATGAGGATAACAACAATGTCAAAGATGGACAGAGAGGCAGCAGGAAAATTGATACCAAACTTTATCTTCATGTACTCGGCTTGGATCAGATATTTTTTTTACATCTTTGAAGATATTAATGAATGACATTTATATCACTTAAGCACAAAAAATTTTTTTATACAATTTGGACTTTTACATCAATTGGTCACAGGATCATCCATACTGGATGGCAATAGATCACTATTCTCACCTGCCCAAAACAAGTGGTTTTCAGGCATGGTGAGAATATTTTTTTGTCTTGACATTTAAAGAAAACGTGATAAAGTGTATTGCATACATTAATCTATATAATAAATGAGTATTCACCTGTGAGTAAAGTGCCCAGTAAATTATAAAAAATGCAAATTTTTTTTTTACTCTCAGAAAGGTTTTGACATCTTCCACTAGACCATTTGAGAAGTGCCCTCCCCTGGTTTCCTTGGCTCTGTCCAACCAACTCTCKCCCTTGATCYGTRGAAWAGGTCTTTTTTTTTTTCTTAGTGTCCTCTTCATGGCTGTCCAAATAACTTTAAATGTATCGCCCAGTATGCTTCCTCCTGGGGGTTCCACTATGTATTTGTTTCGACTAATACAAAATGCAATTTTTTTTAGAAACATTGAACCAGCTGTTATGATAAAGCCGTAAGAGAAGCTCACGTTTTTTTTTTTATAGACAATTAAGGTGTAGGAAACTAAAGCCCCAATGTTGATGAACCAGTAGTTTTTTTTGAAAAATTTCTCAACTGCCTCTGGGCCTTGATCTTTAACTTGGTCTGCCCCAAATGGGGATACATTGGCTTTAATGCCTCCAGTTCCAAAAGCAAGAAACACCAGTGATAAAACAAAGTATGCAATTTTGGATTTCTGTCCCAAGTAGCTTCCATTTGTGGATTTTTTAAGAGTGGCATCTTCAATGCCAACAACAGATAATAACAGTGTTCCAACAAAATAAATTAAGCAAAACCCATATATTACATTGAAACGACCCATGTATTTATCTGCTAACCAGCCACCAAAAACAGGAATGAAGAGGCAACTTCCTATAATAAAATCGTATCATTAATCATTCATGTATTTAATCTGTGAAGCAAAAATAATAAAATAGATTATGTTAATTCCATGCATCTCGTCAGTAAATGTAGCCTTCTTCTCGGGTCCCTATGCCATCTTGAAAGGTTTGCCTCTGCATCGAATTTTTTTCAACTGTTAAGCGTTAAATGGCAGATACCTATGAATAACTATCTGTAGGTGTGAAAGTTTCTATTACTGGACGTTCAACATCGTCTCACTTTCATGAAAACAGGCATGGCATTTTTTTAAGGTGCAGGGAACTGTGAGAGAGAATTCAGGTCACTGGGCGACAAAAATTTTGCTCAAGATAAGTTTTCCGTCTTCTAAATGAGAGTTCACCTCTAAACTTTGTCATATTGACCCACCCTCTACTTTCTCAATGCAATTTACCTAGGAAAACATAATTTACTGTTGAAGGTAAGGCTCCTTTCATTCCCAGGACATTTTGACAAAATGGCACAAGATTTGCAGATATGCCATAAAAAGTCATTCTCTCACATAGCTCTGTTACCAGAATGCATAATGCTAAGAAAGTCTTTGATGAATGTTTCTCTGGGCGTTGACGTCTGATTTTGATCTCGGTTTGAGTCGAGTTTTTTTTGCTGTTGCTGTTTAACAGTGGAACGGACTCGTCATTGGAGGTAGCCATTTTCTTGAAGTTGCCGTATGAGATCGCTACTTTTGTCTTTCAATAACTATCATACAATGACCATTTTTTTAATGCCTCGCGATGATCCTCTAAAAATCAAAAAAACGATATTTAGCCAGCCAAATGCGAAAATACTTTTAATTAACGATAAAAAAATGTGAGATATTCTAAAACCCAGGGAATCATTTTGCATGTACGGCTGTACGTAGTCATGGTCTTAGTCTATTCAATGGAGAAATATAACCCCTTACCCTGGGTTCCGGGCCGTAAGTTCCGCAGTAATACAGCCTCAAAAACTACTCTTCGCTTGAGAAATCCAGGCTCCGGAACCTAAGGTAATATACACCTAGCTATGATGTTTTTTTAATGTAATAATGTTTTATGCAAGGTGGTGTATAGTATAGAGCTAGTCGATTGTTTTTTTTTTGCTGTTTGGTAATGTTTTCCTCTTGACCGCGTGGCTAATTTGCATTAACTTTTTTTATCATGTGACTCACTGGAAACTGCTAATTACACAGGAAGACCGAGTTAAAGATTTTTTTACGGAATTGAAATTCATCACGCGATCTCCACAAAACAAAACATAGAATTACCTTTTTTTAAAATGTGACAAAAAAATACAAAATATCATGTATTAAACAAAAATATGACTTTTTTTTTATATGATTATCTTCCATTGTACAGTTTTGTGTTTCTTTCCATTGTACAGTTTTTTTTTTCTTATAAGTTGGTTTTAAAATTAAAACGTTTTGAAAATTGTTGGTTTTAAAATTTTTTTTTTAAAATCAATAAAACCAACGTAGAAGAAACAAAAATGAGTATTTAAATAATTTTTTTTACGTACGAAAACATTTTAACAAAGATTTTACACTTATTTAAAGCTGTTTATTTTTTTTACAACTGGCCCCTGCTACTTTGTTTTTCCCCTTAAATCACTAATGACTATTCTTTTTTTTTCAGGCGCATGATTTTGACAAATGATTTTGACACAAAATTCTGTAGTGTTTTTTTTTTTTGAGAGTAACTTACTTACCAAGTTCTTGTGAAACCCAGGCTGGAGTATTTTTTTTTTTTTGTGACCACCATAACCCTTGAGCATAAAGTCCATTAGACCTTGATCTCCTTCAAAATTAAAAATGGCTGCCACCAAACATTAATCAGAGCTTTCTAACAAGTACTCAGTGTATTGACAGTCTAGGAAAAGATGTTCAAAATCATCCTAACACTTGCTTTCATTTGCTCATTTTTTTTCAAATTACTCCAAAGTGCTAATATGGGTCATTTAATTTTCCTCATATTTATTTTTTTTATTTGAACAATGCAAATTTTAGGGCAAAAACTGATGACATGTGATTGCCAACTTTTTTTAGAGTACACACTTCTTCAATATCAAGAACAAGGTTCAGCAGACTTTGTATCCAGAGTTTAATTCCTTCTGGGAGAGTCAGGAATGATTGACAGAAGATTACAATTGCTTATTTTTTTTGACAAGTTGCTTAATTAGAACCTGAAATAAGCAGGGGCATGCAACAGGGTTTCATGACGCGGAGTTTCAGTTTTGGTTTGCATTTTCAAGATGGCAAAGAAAGAGACTGAATGAAGAACCACACAATTTATTGTTTTGGGTTCACACCAAACAAACTGTCTGAAAATGTGTTGCCTATTGATTTTCATACAGTCAACTCTCTCGTAAGTGACCTTCTCACGATCAGGAAAAAGTGGTCACTTACGAGAGATGGTCATTTACAAGAATGTTAGCACAGGAAACCCAAACTTTTTTTGACATGACACAGCTGGCCCAAATAGTTCAAAGCACATTGTTCGTATTTCAGTTTATAAAATCTTTGAACAATAATACTGCTTCCATCATGCCAGTCCGCAAATTTTCGAAGTTGGTTTTAATGTCCTAATTCTATTATTGTCTATGGTATAACTAACACTATAGTGTATTTTTTTTTTAATAGTACGCTTTTACGGTTTGTACTCTATTAAAGTAACTGCAAATGTAATTTTTTTTAGCTTAATAAGTAAATTAAACAGACGCCTTTATTGCGTCAGTCAAGGGTGGTTGCTATATACAGGAGAGAGAAAACAATGAAAAATGACAAGAGAGGTTTTTTTACAGGGATTTTTTTAGAAACAAAACGGGAAATTTAAAAGGGTGTTGCTTATGAGAGTGGTCGTTCATTTTTTTTTTCAAATGACTTCATCTGCCAAGGGAAGGGAGTTCTGCAGTTGGACCCCTCTTTTTTTCCACTGCCTTCCCTGGTAAGTCATATGACACTATGACAGACTTGAGACTTTGTTTTTTTTTAATGTCTGGTAATCTTTTTTTTTTTTTTTTTTTTGATAAAGTATGCTAAGTTTTTTTGTGTGTAGTACTATTTAAATCATACTGTAAAAATTCTCATATTGAAATCAATTTTTTTTTATAGCATTACAGCAAAGTACTTTATTGTCTATTTACATAATTGTACAGTTGTTTTTTTTATGAACATAAATTATATTATTAATAAAAATAATTATAAAAATTTCTCATTTTTTTTTTCAAAAGTAGCATTAGATATAAACAATTAATGAGGTGCATGTTTTGAATAAAATTTTTTTTTTTCTATTAATATCTTTAGTTTTACTATGAATATTTTTGCACACAATTTTTATAAAGTAAAAATATATTTAACGTCACCTAAAAATTTGTGATTGGAAAATTTAAAATTACGACTTCCTTTTTGATCCTTTTCAGTCACATTACAATAAGATAGAGACCAATTGAGACACATTTAGTAAAAAAAGAATTCATCATTTGCTATTGTTTCATTAGGACTCAATTGATTGATTTTTTTTTCTTTCCCAATTTGGATTACTCGCTTGTGAAGTCTTGTGCTTCCTATGATCAACGTACTGATATTTACGAGCAACAATAAGAAAAATAAAGAAATTCACCACCATTAGTCTTTTTTTTAGGAAAAAATAGTATTCAAAGTGGCCATTGTTAGGATTTTCAGCTGGATACCAATGTGGTTGGGCATAACTGATGATATTTGCCAAAGCACCAGACAAATAGTTGCCAAGTTTTTTTGTGACCAGGAAAACACCCATTACAAGTCCTTGAAGACATCTAGGTGCTTGCGTTTTTTTAAACTCGAGCCCTACAAGAAATCAAATGTGCAAAAAATGACTTAGTTGTCCCTTTTTTTAGATGTTCCTTGTGCAATTTATGAAGAGGTAGCAGGCAAAGACAATATTATATTTTTTTAGCAAGACTTTCCTCTGACATTTGTATCATATACAGACATGCCTAAAATGACCACCTATTGATACAAACCTGTGATGCTTGTAAACACCTCACTGGTTCCAATAAGCAGAATTTTTTTCACTTGGTAGAAAATTGACATATCAGCAGCTATAAAGGTCTTTTCAAACAATTTTTTTTTAACAGTATGTCCACTTTCAAATCTTCCACGTCGTTCCATCTCCACACATCCTTTTTTTGCAACAGAAGAAGCTGCAAAGAGCATGCCCATGCCAACACGTCGCAGTGGAGTTTTTTTAAATCCAATGTATCGAAGAAGAGGATAAACAACTTTGTCCATGAAAGGAATGAGAATGAGGACAGCAACAATGTCGAAGATAGACAGCGAGGCAGCAGGAAAACTAATACCAAACCTTATCTTCATGTACTGGGCTTGGATCAGATATGTTGTCTGCATCTTTGAAGATAAAAAATTTTCTTTACATTATCTTCACCACAAAATACTGACAATTATTTGTTGTCTTATACAAGATAGTGTGATGCATGTTTACAATGATTTGAATGTGGCTTTGGCTCAATTTACTAATAATCCCCACCCCCATTAAGACATTAAATAAATGAGTATTCACCTGTGAGTAAAGTGTCCAGTAAATTATAAACATTGCAAATATGGGTATTATTCTCAGCAAAGCTTTGACATCTTCCACTTCACCATTTGAGAAGTGCCCTCCCCTGGTTTCCTTGGCTCTGTCCAACCAACTCTCTCCCTTGATCCGTGGAATAGGTCTTTCACTTTTTCTACTCCTCTTCATCGCTGTCCAATTTTTTTTAAATGTATCGCCCACTATGCTTCCTCCAGGGGGGTGCACTATGTATTTGTTTTTTTTTATACAAAATGCAATAACAGCTAGAAACATGGAACCAGCTGTTATAATATAACCATAAAAAAAATTCACCTCCTGTTGTACATAAACAACTAACGTGAACGAAAAAAAAGACCCAATGTTGATGAACCAGTAGAACCAATTGAAGAATTTCTGAATTGCCTCTGGGCCTAGATCTTTAACTTGGTCTGCCCCAAATGGGGATACATTGGCTTTAATGCCTCCAGTTCCAATAGCAAGAAACACCAGCGCAACAACAAAGTATATGATTTTAAGCTTCCGTCCTAAGTGGCTTCCATTTGTGTATGTTTGAAAAGAGCTGTCTTCAATAGAAACAACAGACAATAGCAGTTTTTTTACAAAATATATTAATGAACTCCCATACGTTACATTGAAACGACCCATGTATTTTTTTTTTAACCAGCCTCCAAAAACAGGAAGAAAGTAGCAAGTACCTACAATATATAATTTTTTTTTAATTCATCATTTAATATGTACAGAATTATGAATAATTAATGAAATCAGGAATTTTTTTAAAAAATAAAGAATATTAACATTTTTTATTACTAGAGATGGAAAACCATCAATTTTTTTTTGAAAAGTCATTGCCAGATGGAAAGCTCAGTGTGAAGTCAGTTTTCCCTCTTAATTACGTAGTCCAATATGTTGGTGGCCAAGTATTTGCTATAAAATTTACCTTGAAAATTTTTTTTTACTGTTGAAGGTATGGGTTTACTCAATCCCAACATTTCTGTACAAAATGGTTTTTTTTTTGCTGTAATGCCATAAAATGTCAACCTTTCACACAGCTCTGTTATCAGAATTTTTTTCGTCACTAAGGTCCTTGATGAATGCTTCCCTGGAAGGTGGCTTCTGCTTTTCCTCTTGGTTTTACTGGAGCTTGAACTGTTGTTTTCTACGAGTGGAGCCACATCATTAGGTTTTTTTATTTTCTTGAAGTTGCTGTGTAGAAGAACACTCCTTTCTAGATTATATATCACACATTATAAAATTACATCTTTTTCTAGATGCTGATGAAGTCTCTCTGAAAATAAAAAATTTTTTTTTTAGTATTACTTTCAATTAACCTGCTAGCTGGCTGCAGAAAGGAACTATTTTTTTTTTTACAGGGACGTTGCCCATGCAATCTTTGTTTGATAACCTATTAGCTACATGTACCACTTGCTTGGTCTATTAACATAAGAAATAAACCCTGGTTGCATGGATTGGGCAGCCATGACGATGCATTATAAGGTTTGCTCAAAATACCAAATTATTTAGAATACGATCTAGGGTTTATTATTATAGATTAAATTGCAAAGACATATTAAAAATCTGTACAAGGTTTTGGCATTTTTTTTTGTGATATTTGAAATGTACAAGGTACATATTCATCACACCCATTCATAATTCTTTTTTTACATAATATTGTCATGGCCGCCTGAATGACTTAGACGGCAAAGTTGACTCTTTGACTTAGACGACGACATTGTCTGGTTTCCTAATGGACTCAGGCGTTAAAGTGTCTACCTTTTTTTCTTAATAAGATGACTTGTCTGACCAACTGTCCGACTTAGACAGAAAGGTGTCTTTTTTTTGGTCAATTTAGACGGCAAAGTGCCTAGCTAACAGTTCAACTTAGACGAAAATTTTTTTGTTTAACTKATGTATTTCGACGAAAAAGTGTTTGGCTAACTGTGTGATTTTGTTTTTTTGATAACTGTGCGGYTTTGACGGAAAAATGACTGATTAACTGATTGACCTACATTTTTTTTATTATTAAATTTATAGGATTGTATATACACAGCTGTTTGAAATATTTTCACTTTTTTTATGGATAATTGAACTAGACAGCACAATTAACTAACTTAACATGAATGAGCTTTTTTTTTATGAAAATATGAATACATTTTGACGTTTGGAAAATAAGAATCAAAATAAAAATTTTTTTTCTTTGAAATTAATCGTATGAGGAAGTGGCTGATCCTTTGAAATTATATAAATTTTTTTGATTAAGGAATATGTGATCTTACTAAAATATATAACTTAATTATTTTATTTTTTTTTTTTATTGCTAAGGATGTATTTGAACACTCTATATTGAAAGTGAAAATGAACTTATTTTTTTACACTTTGTGTTTTACAAGCTTTAAAACCATGAAAATTAAGTTACTTAAATGTTTTTTTCGCGAATCACAGTTTGTGAAGTTGCATTMAGACAACCCGGGTTTGACAACCAACCAAAAGACTTTGCTTTCAAATGTCACAAACTCTACAGTGTACTGTAAAATTTAGAGAGCAACAACTTACCATTTTAGAGCATACAAAACGATATCTTTTCTGGGAATTCTGGTCATATTTTGGTCTTTACAGTTTCGCTACAGTCATATGTGATAATCATGTGACTCATTGGAAATTTTTTTTACACAGGAAGACCGAACTAAAGAATGTGACGCCAGAAGTACTATTTTTGAGTTTTTTTATTTTCGCGATATACACCTACTTGCAGAAACGTTGTCATAGAAAATAGAACATTTGAATTTAGTAAAAAGGAATTAATTAATACAAGACAAAAGAGAGCGTTTAGCCTCAGTTTTTTTAATACACTAAAATGTCCTATTCAAGATGTATGCAAAATGTATGTTTATGCTTTTTTTTTACAAAACTTGGGACCAAACTCTACAGTGTGTTATAAAATTTAGAGAGCAACCTTTTTTTATATCCACAACGAGAGCCCAGGTGTAATACTGTCATTAGCTGACCTCACGCCATAAATTAAATACTGGCCCCCTGGAGTGTCAAAGTCTGTTCCTAGAAATGACGGCCAGTTTTTTTTAGACAATTTGACTCAATCTAACGACCCAACAAAAACAATCTCAACTCGTGCATTTTTTTTGCATTAAAAAAATCGTCCAAAACCAACATTAAAAAAAAAAACATGGCAAACTTTTTTTTGCGATCAACCTCATCAGTGGCTGACTTACTTCCGGAACAAGGTCTGCACTAGAGTTCTACTACGGTCTAACGGTTCATTCTGACACAACAAAAATTTTGTATGTGCAGCTTGGTGCTCCCCTAAGAGCTACTAAGGTTGTGCTGAGGGTGAAGGTCTGACTCAAAATCAAAAAGCCGATACTGGATAGTTAGGGCCGCTGCTTATATTTTCTAAATTTTTGTATCTAGCCACCTTTATCATATCCGCCCTTGGTGCAGACTCTTATGAATACAACACAAAAATCAATGGAACTTTTGATTGGATATATTCATAAAATGAAGGGGAACTCTAAAGTTTAGTCGCTTATTTTTTTAAAGTAGATAAAACTATGTCTCTTCTGAGAATTCTGGAGATATTTTGGTTGTTTTTTTTTCGTGACAGTCGTGTGATGATCATGTGATAAGGTCCCTGGAAACTATCACGCTTTTTTTCGAGTTAAAAATTGTGTCTCGGAAATTGAATTCACGACATCCAGTTTCCGAAGCAAAACACAGAATTTCCTTTCAAAAAATATGGGACAAAGATCACAAAATACCATGTTATAAAACAAAATTATTTAGTTATTTTGATGGGAAGTATTTCTGTGCAATAAATTTTTTGATTTTTTTCTAAAATAATCCTGTAATTCTATATGTTTCGCTTTGAATTTCTTTTGTGAATTTTTTTTATAGAGGATATTACATRRGCGCGCGGCCGGAGATAGGGATTTTATCTTCGAGTTTTGAAAAGATCTCTCACCAGTGAGCGTAGTGTGGCCCCCTGTTCACAAAAAAAAAATATTAAAACCTAAATTAAGACATCCCAATTTCCTATTTCTTTACACCGGAAATGACGACATTTTTTTCCAGAAACTCCCATCATCCTTTTCGATATCGTCTATGTGGCAATCGATAAAWTTTTTTTTTTGTTGTTTCCTTTGTATTACTAATTTATCAACTTATAATGCCTCCAAACTTTTTTTTCTTGGCTTAGAAAAGACTCTTATTACATTGCTTCACCTTCATGTGTATTGATATGGACAAAAGTTAACGATCACTTCATTGGATTTGTATATTTTTGCCGCTAAAATGAAGCCATCTCGAGTTTCAATGGATATTGAACTTCTACCTGATGTAGTAAATTCTACCGCCAACAAACTCAACGACAGTCAATTCTGGCCTAAAAAGGATCGACCTAAGTGGATATTTATGTTTTTTTTTGGTTGTGCTTTACTTGACATCACTCGTGTTTGTATGTCATTGTGTGTCGTATTTTTTTCTAAAGAATTGGAATGGGATAAACTAGAAACGGTAGGTCGAAGTAAACTTTGTTTTTTTTTCAATTCAAACGACTCAACGTAAACCAAGGATGCCATCTCTTGATTATGGATTTTTTTTGTACATATTTATGCGAACGTTGAAGTTGTCAACGTTTGTTCATTTTTTTTCTTTTTTTAAATTATTCATTCTGTTTGCCAGGTGCAAGATTCACTTTAATCAGCGGAAGTTTTTTTTTTTTTCTAAAATATAACTTAAGATTAGTAAGTTTATTTATAGATCCAGTTTATTTTTTTACAAACGAAAAGTATATCACAAATATTATTCTAGCAAAACCATGCATGAAGGTTTTTTTAAAGTATTTCATCTATTTATAGCAGACTTGTTACATCATTTCCATGGCAACCTTTTTTTACTTAACAATATTATGATATAATTATTACTAACTATCTGAAATCATCAAAAGTTTTTTTAGAGGATATTATATGGGTCCATGAAGATACAGATTTTTTCTTCAAGTGTTGAAAAGATCATAACACGAGAAGATAAAATTTGTACCTCCAAGCAACCATGTAATATTCTGTTTTTTTTAATAAATGGTTGTGGGTCGGTCTATTCATTATGATGTAAGCGCTACTTCAACTTTTTTTTTATTTATTTTTGTAAAATGTAACATTTTTCATTCAGTCTTGATAATGGCTCTTTTTTTCGAAAGCTCGACCAAAATAAATAACTTTTAGGTTGAAGTAGCGCTTACATCGTTTTTTTATTCTGTTTATCATATATTTATCAATGAAAGCAAACTTATGTTTTAAAATTATTTTTTTTCCAATATAAAGAGATACCACGAATGTGTTATTTTCACTAGTATTTTCACTATTTTTTTTAACAACTTTACGTAATGGAGAAATATAGGTATTTTTCAGCAGAATAATCACTTTTTTTATTTCTTTCTTCCAGGGTCTGGTGTTGTCCTCTCTATTCTGGGGTTATTTTTTTTTTTTGTTGCCAGCAGGGTTTCTGAGTGACACTCACGGGGGTGATATAATAGTTTTATGGTCTGTGTTTGGTTGTGCCATTTGCACATTAGCTGTACCCTTTGTTACAACAGAAGTTGCTGTTCTTTACTTTGCTCCTTCTATTCTACTTGTTCTGTTCTCAAGAGTGTGTCTTGTTTTTTTTCAGGGTAAATTATATAAACTGATATATATTCATTAGCAATAATTAGGTATATTTTTTTGGGTTTAATGAGAGAAAGTTTCAGCTTTCCTGCCTCCCTCCTCCTGTAGTTTTTTTTTTGTGAAGTGGTCAATTTGCTTCAAACTTGTGAATATAAAGTGAGCTAATAAGTTTTTTTTATGGATCTTTGGAAATCATTCCAGTCATTAAAAAAAGGTAAAACAGTTTATTTTTTTTTTTCTTTCTACATGTTTTTTCCAGGTTTCTTTTTCCCATCGATGTATAGTCTTACTGGRAAAAAATTACCTTTAAGTGATCGGTCTATGGGAAGTGCAATCATATCGTCAGGTTTTTTTGTAGGGTAAGACCAGTCAATTTTTGATAAGTACTTGCTATGCCATTACTCATTTTTTTTCCTACTTTTGAAATTTTGATGTATTCAAGGGAAGTGGTCGACCTTTCAAGCTTTTTTTTATTTTGGGAAATAAAAATACATTGTAATATAAGCAAAAACCTACTCTTTATTTTTTTTTTCTCATGCTATATGAGATATGTAAGATTCGATCTTTAATCGATGGATGGAAATTTTTTTGATATTTGAAGTCACCTTGTTTTCCATATAAAAAAATCTAAACCACGTCCGCTTTTTTTGTTGGTGGATCATGTCCCTTTAATCCTTCACAGAAGGATTGATGATTAATCTTTTTTTTCTCTTCAGTGCTCTCATAACAGGWAGTATTGGATCCTTAATTCTCACTTCCTTTTTTTTGCGATGGGTTTTCTTATCATTTGGTTTTACCAGTGCTTTATGGGTAGTTATATGGAAACATTTCTTTCTAAAAGCAAGGCCCTCCAGTGATGATATAGCTTATAATATAACTTTTTTTTTTGAAAGTACAGAACATAAACATCGCTATCTATTACCAAAGGGACGTTCAATTTTTTTACCCTGGGGAAAACTTATTAGGCAACCAGCTGTATGGTAAGTGAAGTTGGATTTTTTTTATAAAATACATGTATAAGGGGGAGACCTTGATGGGAATTTAAAACTGTGAGCTTTTTTTAAGCCTATAAAGGTCGGATGCAAATATTTTATATTGCTTATCAAATTCCAACTTTTTTTTAAAGCATAATTAATTAGAAAAAAACTTCAAGATATAAATAAATTTTACTTTTTTTTTTAAATTGAAGTTTTAAGTTTTAAACTTAAAAAATTGAAGTTTTAAAAAGTCGTTTTTTTTTCAGAACAAAACTCTTGGTCATATAAAGATGCGGTCACAGCAATGATTTTCATTTTTTTTGCCTCATGAATTATTAAGTGAATTTGATAGATAAGATATATATAAGATAGATTTTTTTTTCAATGTGATTCTTATCTTTTGCAGGGCTATAATAATTGCTCATTTTAGTATTTTTTTCATGTACTTGAACTTATCATCATGGTTACCTACATACTTCCATGAAACATTTTTTTTTTCAAAGGTATATACTAGTACAATAGTTCCACACTTGGAGATGAATAACATATATTTTTTTCCAATGTAATACAGCCTTTTGCAAAAATTATGAGAATTGTCTAAATATCTAATTTTTTTAATATCCATATCCATATATTGTCCGGAACACGCGGGTTTGCTAGAATAATCATTTTTTTCATCGAGAAAATGTTCAGAACTATGCATAAGTCCGTCGCCAAAAAAAACTAATTTTTTTAGACAATGGACTAAGGGCATCGCGCGGGATCATGCACTTGATATTATGATATTTTTTTTTTTCAACAATTCTCATAATTTTTGCAAAAGGCTGTATCCTCTCAGTCCACAATTTTTTTGGGTATATTTAGGGGTATGTAATATCTATTGCAATTTTTATCTCAGGGATGGTTTTTTTATGTGGTACCATATTTATGCGTTTTCATTGGCAAAATAATTGGTGGACGATTTTTTTTTAAAATGATCCAATTGGGTAAGCCTAATGACAGGAATATCATGACTTTTATTCTTTTTTTTATTATTTGTCAAACCAACCCCTATTTGAATTTTATTTTTTTTGTTCTTTGACAGGATTTTCTGTAACATTTGTGAGAAAACTTTGTGAGGTATGGTTTGATGAATGTTGCTTTTTTTTGCTGTTKACATTACCAAAGTAGCTGTATTTTCTTTCAACAATTGAAACAAGAGAAATTTAATGGGCTGTCAACCCTAGACTTAGTATTGACCTTCATAATTTCACTACATTTTTTTTCCACAAGGAAGAGAATCATCTGTTGATAGCCTKATGAATTTTGATAAATTTATTTTTTTAATTTTAATGTTTTTCTTTTGCAGACAATTGCSACTGCAATACCTGGARTAATTTTTTTGTTATGCATGTATGCAACAGAGTTCTGGCAAGCACTGGCATGCATGTCTCTATTTTTTTGTCTATCTGGATTTGAGTCTAGTGGATCTATATGTAATATCCAGGATCTTTCACCAACATTTGCAGGATCTATTAGTGGTATGTTTTTTTCTGAAAATTTTACATCCTGTCTTTTTTTCCCCACCCTATCCCCACTAGAAAAATTGTTTTTAATGTCTATTTTCTTCATTTTTTTTTATGCCATCCTATCAAATGCTTTACTAGTTTTATTTTATTACAGGCATGGTATTTTTTTTTACCTCACTACCAGGTAATGATCTTTGATCACTTGCTTAATTGAATGAAGTCTTTTTTTTATAGTAATCACAGGTAGCCCAAGCTATGCATTTTTACCGTTTTAATAATTTTTTTTTTTATGTTAAGTTTAAGAATAAAACTAAGCATCTCTACCTATGTAGCTATCATTTACTAAGACATTTACTCATTTACTGTGTAATCCAGATGCAATTCAGATCATTGGTCTGCGAAATCTTGAAAGTCGGCCACATCTAACTCTATCTCTAAGAAGGGAAGCTGAAGGAAAGTTTTTTTTCTTTTTAGAACGAATGATAGCAATAGCAGTAAACGGCTCAAAATGGCCTGATTTTTTTCAGCAATACAAAGAAAACCACCAAATATTGGTAGAGATTTTATTAAACTTAATTTTTTTAACAAAACTAAAACTAAAACTAAACAAAAATATATTAAAATGGTAAAAATACTTTTTTTGGACTGCTTGCACTCTAAAGATTTCACTCTAAGTACTGTATTGACTCTGATTTTTTTTTAAGTTGACTGATTTGCTTGATAACAGAATTTTATTGATCTTTTTTTTTTCTTTTTTTTTTTGTAGGGGTATATCTGACAGGATACATCCTTCATGCAACTGGTAGCTGGCATGTAGTATTTCAATTAACAGCCGTTATATGTTTCTTTGGCAATATAGTATACGTCATATTTGCAACAAGTAGGAGAATAGCGTAGTCATTAAATTTATTATAAACAAAATTTGTAAATTTTTTTTGTAGACATTTGTTTTGCCAAGACCTCAAAGGACTTGGAAATAACTCTAAATGTTTTTTTAACAACAATGAAATTGTAATAATAATTAATTTTAAAAAATAACAAGATGCATTTTTTTTGACAATTAAAGTTTTAATGTTTATTTCTTCAAGATTATAATAGGTCATACTATTTTTTTTTCCTCTTCAGTGCACTTCTCAAATTTATAAGTAAACAATTGTTTCTTTACTTTTTTTCTATACACAGTGGATGCAAAACAAAGAACAAAAAACATGCATAAAACGTCGCTTTTTTTAAAGCTCTGCAAATTGCTGTTGAACACAACACAGTTGTACATACAGTATGTATTTTTTTGATACAGTACAACAGGTTTTTACTTCATACTTCATGTAATAAATGTTGATGGTTTTTTTTTAACACACACATGACATGAAGTCCTGGTGTGTAAATGCATCTCTTAATTGAGAGCACATAACAAAAAATGCTGTACAATATACTTTATGTTGAGCATGTGGTGCAAGGGCTTTTTTTGACATAAATATGTATTGTTGCATTGTTAGTATTTAATAGTTACAGATTAACATTTTTTTCATGTGAACTGGTTCCTTTTCACACATGCGACAAATAAGCAACTTGTTCACATTTTTTTATTCTAGTTACATGTAAACTGTAAAATTCACAGTTATTAGCACTTGTAACATTTTTTTTTTTCAATCCTTCCGTACAAAACTATCCAGCTACCGAAAATGGCTTCAAAATTTTTTTTTGCAGTGATCCGTACACCATTTTCCAAGAAATCCACTGTGCACAGAATACTACTTTTTTTGATACAAGATAAGATGTGTAAAACTTAAATAAATTGTAATAAAATAATAGTATTTTTTTCAGTTATAGTAGTTTCCATTATTTTAATCCATCAGTAGGCGGCCTTTCTTTTTTTTTTTTCTACTTATGGATGTTTGGTGAGGAAATCAAGAAATCTGTTGTGAAACAGTCTTTTTTTGCCCTCACAAAATTAGAACTTGATTTTTTTCAAACGAAATATGTCGAAAGAGTTTTTTTTACACAAAAAAATATTTTTTTCATGCAAACGAGCTAAAAACCCAGTTTGAAGTTTTTTTCTGTCACTCATGTTTTTTGTAAACAGGCGCACTTTCAATGATTTTGAGGATGTTTTTTTTAGGCGTCAGAAAAGGGCAATAAATGTGCTCTAACTCATCCAAAACCGCCTCTTTTTTTTAGAACTGGATTTTTTAAAACGAAATGTATCGAAATCAGGCGCGTATCGTCCTTTTTTTATATAGCTATTTCAAAAAAAGTTGTCGGATAGAATGGCGAATGTCGATTGTCTTTTTTTGATTGCACGACCGAAAGTAGCCATGGGTTTCACTTGGTGAAATTAAATAACAACTGATTTGTACTGTAAGAGGGTCTGTGGTGAACACTGCCTCCATTTAGTCTCCATTTCTTTTTTTGATGAATCCAATAAGTGAAATTTGGTTTATCAACACAGTGTAACCATAGTCCTTTTTTTTCGTGCAATCTCCCTTCAACAATCGCCGTTTGCCGTTCTCCCCGACAACGTTTTTTTTTATAGCTGTATACGCATGCAAATTTTCACAAAAACTGAAAAGTTCACATACAATTTTTTTCTTTTATATGCCCTCGATGTGTCTCAAAACGCTGGAAATCGCATTTCCAAGATTTTTTTTTTTGTAAAATTGGCGGTCGTCCACGCTACGCGCCTGGAGGTTGAGGAATTCTTTTTTTTGTACACGAAAAAAAGAGCTGAAAAGCCAGTTTGAAGTCTGGTGCTGTCACTTTTTTTTATGTTTGTAAACACGCGGATTAGGGCGGCTTTAAGTGTTTTTTGGGTGAAATTTTTTTTCTTCCTTGGTCGCCTTAAAGCATACATGACCGCATTTTCCTTTCCCCCTCTTTTTTTTTGAATTATGTATCAACGTGTTAGCACATTTCATTGGACCGAGTCTAATATATTTGCAATTAAAAGTAGTTTGAACAAAAAAAGAAAAGAAAAAATGAAAAGAAGAAAGAAAAGATCTTTAGAAATAATAAAGCTGATCGAAACGCAAGTTCTTTTCACAATTTCTTTAGTTTTTTTTTAATTCCCAGGAAATGATTGAAAACGTCTGTCATATTGCCAGAAAATACCTTTTTTTTTTCTTCATTTATGAGCATTTAATTACGACTAAACTGTTAAAATCTTTATGAATTCAACATCAATTGAATTAAACTTTCGAGGGTTTTTATATTGTAGCTATATTAGTCACTTCTTTTTTTAACTGCCCTCTGATCTCATGCACTCCATCACAAGTCTGAACGATTCACATAATTTTTTTAATTGAAATACTGCACAAAGTAAAAATACTACGGTTTAACTTATAAGCGAARTTTTTTTCTGACTTCAGCGAGTTAAGGCTTCTTCAGAATTGMGGTCTCCATTTTYAATTTTTTTTTTGCTCATAAAATATAATCATATTTCATATGTTGGCAATTTGTTTAAAGCCTAGTTTCCATCTTTCAGGAAATTTGATTGGCTCATCTTTAATTGAAGTTCATCTCAATCGAAATCATCTGCCAGCCAATATAGCATGTAAACATCATTTCAAAGCAACATCCAACGCTGGTTTTTTTATATTCAGTATTGTTGATAAAGCGATGACAACAATCTTCCTCAAAATACTGCTACTATCAAGTCTACAACTCGCGATTAGTGAGTCTCACTGCATTGGCACCTGCTATTCTTTTTTTTTTTTCCCAGAGTCCAAAGACATCTTCCATGGAAAACATCTCAAGGGGCACTCCTATAACAACATCACCACTGATGATCCAGCCAAGTGCTACCATCACTGTGTCCAAGATTGTCGTTGTAAGGCGTGTCAGATGAAAGATACAAGATGCGAGTTGCTGGATGAGGACAAGACTTCCAAGGTTAATAACTTTGTAGATGAACCAGGATACGTGTACTTTGAWCTCAAGCATTTTTTTTACAAAGGGGTGAGAATRTTTTTATGAAGCACTCTACTGAACCACTATAGCTTTTTTTTCTACCTTCATCCTCAATTTTCTGCACTTTTTGTATCAAAATGTAGTTTATCATTTTTTTAATATATCGATGAATAACTCATACAAACAAAAATCGAAACTGAACGGAAAAGTTTTTTTCCGCGCTGTACAAATGTGGATTACCTGTTGTACCTTAAGGGAGATTGTAAGCTTTTTTTCCACAGGTAATCCACAAATTCAATACGCACGTGTGCTCACAGAGCATCGCCTGTAAACTGAGCTATCTCATCCTGATTCTACTTATTATTTTTTTTCTTTTTCAACAGAAATTTTTTTTGGTACAACCAAGTGTTTGCTATAATGGCTGCTGTCGATTTCAACCTTGCATGAACGGAGGGACATGCGTAGAACATTGCAAAAATCCTAAAGAAAAGTTCATTTGCATGTGTTTGTATGGGTTCAGTGGACGAATCTGCGAGGTTCTCCGAGAGCCGAGAACCTGTCTTGATGTACTGAAGAATGCCCCTCCTGGAATAAAGCCCGACAATGGTATATATGTAATATATTTTTTTGGCGATAATTATGAGCGAACCAAAGTCTTCTGYGATTTCAAAACTCCAAACCTTTTTTTGACTTTGATAGAATCATTCACTAGAGAAAACCGCCAGATCTATAGACGGAAGTTTTTTTATCAGAGTGGAGTTAGTAGGAACAAGCTTAKTCCAAACTGGGAAGATTATCGACCAGGAATAGGCCTCATCCACCGTGTCCGCTCAAAAGCGACCATGTTTAGAGCTACCTTTTTTTTCCCAGTACGCATACGTAACAGTTCCCTTACGGATCCAGATTACTTATATGGGTATCTCAGTGACTATGACATTATCAATGGGGGAGATCAAAATGCAAGGAAGTGCTTCAATTTTTTTTACGTAAACGTTAGAGGTTACGAGTAYTTTAACGTCTCCCTGCTGGTTTGGCTTTTTTTTTCTAAATATCATCTGCATTTGGACCTCAGTTTAAAAAATCAATGTGGCTTTTTTTTTTTACCAGAATCAGAAGTCAGCGAAGATTCCTTTGGATTTTACGATAAAATGAATTTTTTTTTCACATGTACTGCAACYGCTAAATCTACCACACAGTGGT